AGCGTCAGGGGCATTGGCGCTGCAGTCTACCTGGGAATGGAGAGAGGTGGTTGCTTCCAGCGCGCTGCTGCTGTTGGGTTGCTGCAACCGAAACCCTCAGCCTGTGTGCACCTCCTGCAGCGGTATGCGGCAGAGGGACATGCGTGTGTGGGGGGAGCAGCAAAAATGCCGCTACTGCGTTTGATGAGGAAGAAACGGACAACAAAGAATAAATGAAAGGTCAACGTGTGAAGAACAAAACTGCAAGCGCCACGCGCCCCCCAACGGTGAGCTGTCTCCGGCTGCAGCAATAACCCGAAAAGAGTCTTTTGCTCCGCTGCATGCGGTCAAAGCAACATAAAACATAAATATTTAGAAAATAATGATGGCTCTGTTGTAGCAAGAACACCAGCGCAGCGCTTGCTGCTGCCAGCCCCCCGACAACGACCCAGAACACCACCCCTCCCGCCGCTGTGCTCTTCCTGCTGTTTTTGGATGGCGTAAATGTCTGTATTACCTTTTTTTCTGAGTTTACTCCTTTTAATAACAACTACTGGGGTATGTTTTCGCGTGTAGCCCGGGGGGACTCACACTCCCATGCGGCCCCGTGTTTGGGTGGAAANACTGGGGTATGTTTTCGCGTGTAGCCCGGGGGGACTCACACTCCCATGCGGCCCCGTGTTTGGGTGGAAATTATGGCCTATGATGCTTTCTTGCAATCGGCTTTAGAAGGATATCAACAGCCGCAAAGTAGAGTATTTAATTTAGTCAAAGGGGAAGAGATGTTCAGGAAGATTGTCAGAGGGGACAAGCGATACAAACGCGCCACCATCGGGAGCCACGGAAACCCGGGTCCTACTTGAAATTGAATACACACGCTAAAGAACGCCAACACCTCTGCATTTATGCGAGGTCAGCGTTTTCCAGTGCTGGGTACTGTGTCAGGTAGGTGGAGATAGTTGGTGCGCAACACTCGCCCGTAGGTTCCTTGGATCGTGGTCTGTCTGAAAGCGGTGCAGGCACTTCTACTTGCGTGCAGTTTGTTACGGCGAACTACGTACTGAGCGATAGGACACGGTGTACGTGCATGCATCAACCGGTGACATTTCTCCCCTTGCACATGAGGTTGCTTTGAAGCAGATGTTGCTGCAGTTCGCGCTACAACGCGTTAGAGGCCGTCGCCTCTCCACACCATCATAGCCCCTTCTGCCTCTATCTCCAGGATGAGTGCAGACTGCAGGGCTGTCAGATGCTTTCGGGTAACTGTGTTCATGATCCTATTGAGGTTGTTTCAGCTGAGGACGACCCTATGCTACAATCGAGATGGGTTCTCGTCACACTTGGTGGCTTAGCGTAGTGTATCATAGCATCTGCGTGCAGCTCACAGCTGGGCGCCCTGGTGCATAGCACCGGCTAGTAGCGAGGGTGAAAAAAACTAATCTTACCCCCCCAAAAGTCCTCGAAATTAGCTCTTCTTCTGCAGAATGAAGATTGACCAGGATCCGCCATCCATTGGGGAGCCGACCGCCGGAAGGAAACCCGTCGCATTGAAGCAAATGCTATGCTTACAACTCTCCCAGTGGGAATCAAAACAATTTATTAAGAATGCCTCTGCAGACCATCCGGAGGTTACGAGCGTCGTGAGCGGGCAGTGGAAGAATTCCTTGCTTCTCTGTAGGCGCACTTTCGTTGTCAAAATGCAGCTGGCAGTTCCGTGGTCTTGCATTTTACTATCGAAACTTCGTCCCTGGAGTCGCATGCATCACCGCTCCGATAAGGGGTCCACTTACGAAGGACAAACACCTTTCTGTAGAGAAAGGAAAATAAACTGCCCCATGCGAAACATGGCTTCGTCTACACAGCTCGCGGTCCTTTATTCTGAGAAACAGGCTACAAGCGACGCAACAACTGCGGTGATGCACACTCAGAAAGCCAATCGCTGTCAGACTCTCTCCACCGGAGCATATGTCTCGCAGCCAGCCGTGGGCTGGTGCGGCTGCAGATCAGTGTTCGTTATAACTTTCTATCTAAAGCAATACAGCTCCCTCTATGTATTGTAGTCGTTCTCGTACAGCTAAAGAGGTCCGCAAAGGTTCCAGTTGGGCTCCATTGCAATGCCTGTGCGCTACATATCCTCTCCCAGCCCTTAAGGCCGCAGAGCCCGGTATAGTGGGGTAGCAGACAGAGCAATTTTGGGATAAAAGCAAGAGGAGAAACCTCCTTACCGCTTTGTTAACTTCGTTACTCTGCTGGATCAGAAAAGATGTCTGAGTGTCTGTAGCATAAGAGAGTTTACTTGTGTATGTCAGTCAACTTATCCCAGCCCGTTATATGCAGCAGTGGGGTTCGAAGGATGCGCTCCACAGTAGTCTTTCAGAGAAGTATCATATTAATATGTCATGCTTTTTAAGAATATTACACTAAAGTGTAATATTCTTTGTTCACGCGAACGAATATCTGCATAGCATCTAAGGGACTGAGGGCTCAGCCCATACATCTTCAGTTTCCTGTATCCGCAGTACATCCATTGTTATGGACTCAAAACACCCCATCGTGTGAGGGAACTCAGATCCCTACTACTTCTCATAATCGGGTCTCCGTCTGCGTTTGTGTTGTCGTTGGGGGCACAAGACGCCGAGCTGCGGAGATTGTTTGGTGCCCCCGTTGACGAGAGTGCGATCAAGTTCCGAGGGCCCTATGATCCCCAAGGCCCCAAGCTTTCCCTATCTGACTTGCTGTAGGGGAGTTTTTCACAAGCTCTACGCGATCTTGTGAGGGCAGAGCAGAGCAGGCACGACCTAGACGCCAGGCATTGCTAAACCGACCATGAGTCGCTCAAACACATGACAAACGGCTTTTTGGTTCGATAATAAGGGAGGTGTTCGCCTGCCTCACCAGGTCATGCAAAACGGCAGCAAAGCATATCATGGGTATCAACGACGCGGCAGATGATGCACCTTCCTTGGACTCTAGGGCCGTTCGGAACAGGCACGTCGCTCCGCAGAAGCGTTTATCTGCGATAACTCTTCTTATTCTTCAGATACTCACGCTTATGCGGTTTCTGCCAAGCTCAACGGCGGCCAGCGGCGAAAGCGCTACACCGTAGACGCCAATCCCTTGTAGTACCAGGTGAAGCGTGGAATCCGCCGATCAAATATTCGGTTTGTACAGAGATTTTAGAAGAAATGCACGGGCTTAACACGAAACTTCAGAGGGTTCCCAGCTCCTTTTGCTACTGGCATTCCGGATGGGTGATGACATCTTTCTCTACTGAAATGAAATGCGCAATCTACGCCTCTAAAAACCCCAGCACAGTGTCAAGTCCTAGACAGAACTGGACGGCATATCCGTTGAATTCATGGTGGGCGCTTACTACCACTTCGAGGCTTTGATAGAGTCTACTCTGTCGTGGATAGACCCCGCTAATATGCCCAGTTGTGCATTGTTCATCTTCTGTGACAGCAGTAAGAGTGGTGGAATTACCAACAACAACGACAGCCGAGCTTCGTTTGCTCACCTCGGCGCAAATTCATGACGCATGTTAATGCGACCACCAGCGCTAAAGACTATTAAACTGGACAAAGCATGCTTGTGCAGCATCTGCGACTCTACACCCAATAATATGTTTTGGATCTGCTTGATTTGGAATGGGCTTACAATACAGCAGTGCAGTTTTCGATCCGTTACTCTCCCGTTCCCCTGGTGTGTACGCGGGAAAATCGTCTTCTGACGTCTCCTTGGAAACTAGCCCCGTACCGTCGCAGCAGCGGACTTCCTTATAGGGGTTGCTGCACCTCGGGGATGCCTGAAATGTGCAGAAGAACAGCAAGCAATAGACTATCACATACGCCATTAGGTATTCACCTTCATAGCTGCGGACTTCCGTACGTAGGCTGCTGCACCTCGGGGATGCATGAAAGGAGCACAGGAACAGCATGCAATAGATTATCACAGAATAGGTTAGGTAGCCACGTTCAACCACGGTGACCCTGTTTAAGTGGGTCAGCACGTCCTCCGAAGCTTGCAGGAGTGCAAAGAGCCGAATAAGTTAGCCATGCATTGAGTCTGTCCCTTCGGGGTTCGTTCTCAGATTAATCAGTTGCCTGATCCCACCATGAGGACCAAACCATACTCGCAATACTTGTTCTACAAAACGAATAAGAGAGTAGCCGAAGTCTCCACGACCTCGTTACAAAAAACGCAGCAACGTCATTGCGAGGAGGAGTAGCTGCATGCTGCAGACAAGTGTATCGTTTTGCTACCCTGTGCTCCCCTGCAGACGCTGTCTGCGCCACTACAGCTTTGACTTCTTGCCCTGTCTCTACTCCTATATACATCTTTGTTGCTTTGCAGCAAAAGCGTTTACGGTTTTCCGCATACTGCAAACAACTTCGCTGGGTTGGGAAAAGCCGTTGCTGTGCTACACTGGGATGTCAGTGCATCTCAGCTGTGCCTAATGCCGGAGTTCCACAGGCTTTCCGACATACTCTTCCCCCTTTCAGTTCCAGGTTTTCTCTATCTACTCCTTCGAGAGAAGTCTGTGCCACTCTGTTTGGGAGACTGGGTCAAGTTCGGCTACTGTTCCGAAATTCTGATTTTAAGGTCTTTTGACTAGTGCAACTCACCGTGCTCCGCTGCGAAGAGGACCAAATCAAAGGCATACCTTGTCAGGTAAGAAAAGATTATACACACTCCGTAGGACAGCTTTAAAAGCAGTAAAGGTCTCGGAAGGGCAACTAAAGGTGTAGCCGAGTTTCTTAGAAGCTGGAGCCTGCGTTCAAATTTGTCTCTATGCTGGCTACGGAAAGCTAACTGTTTACCGTCGACTACAGTGTTAGCGCACGCATCACGAGGTGCTTGGATATTGTTGCTTGTGTGGTTGCTTTCGAGACGGGAGTTGCCCTAGAAAGCCCTGAAACAACTGCCAGGCCATTACCTCATCTTTCGATCAGCCCATCGACCCTATGCCCCTGTGTTGTGGATTCCAGTTTGAGCAGGAGATCGCCACTCAGTGAATAGAAACCAAGCTTAGCTTAGCAATATGGCTCCTTATTATATTTTATACATACACTTCCGTGCAAATGGCTTTGTTCCAGCCAGACGCAGATGCCTTATGTTTTGCCCCGCAGAAGAAACAGCAATCTAGTTGGTAGTTACAGGCA